AGTGAGATAAAGCCGAATTGCTGCACTGTAATACTGGGCCGTTTTTCCCCTCATTCCCCCTCCCCCCCTTTCCCCGCCTGTTTTTGAAGCAGTTCTCCCAAAAAAGTATTAAACAGCAGTTGCAAGTTGCTGTTCTTTTAAGATCAAGCCGTTTCAATCTTTTTTTATTCCGCAAAAAAGGCAAAACTTTCACTAAAAGTGTATAAGTTCAACGTCTTTCATTGAACTGATGGATCATCATCTCCTGCAAAGTGGAGTGATAATTATCAAAATAATTATTACTAACTCAATTCCAAAATTATTTCGCTAAGAGATAACAGCTACTCACTGACAATGCTGTCGATAGCCTCTGTTCCCAAACCATGGCGCTAGGATGAATGTAAAACTATGAATTTTACACACACACACACAAACAACAGGTACTAAGAAACCTATGACTAACGGGTGAATTTGTGCGCGGTTTAAACTCCAAATGCTAAAAGGTGGTGATCTATCATGGATTTAATAACACTAAAACAAACTCAAAACGCTCAAGAATCTAATGCATGCGCAATGGACGGCGCTAGAACGTATTCCTGCAGATATCCGGGCAATTGGATATTCTATGTTGGTGATGTTATTAACGCTCTCCAGTACTCCAATTGTAGCTATTTCAGGTCTTTAGATATCTCCAGTTAATCTCCACCGTCTGTTTAACATATGTCGATTGTAGCAACCGAGTTGACCCTGGAAGCCTAAATGACGCAGGCACGATACGCTACAGCATGACGGAACAGCAGCAGAGAAGAAAAGAGTGAGATAGGACGGTCCATTAATTCATATACGCCTTAACCCTCGTCAGTATGACGGTCGCATTGCTTGATGGAAAAAGAGGAAGACTTTCAGGAAGAAACAGAAGGGGAAACGATAATAATTGTGGGATTAGAAGCAGTAAGAGTGTGATGGGGAGAGAAGGAAGGAGGAAGAAAAAGATTTTAAAAGAAAAAGTTTTCTTAAAAAAGTTACGTTCCTGCGTGAGTAACGGGCCGTTCAGTTCAGCTCCACAGCTCCCTGTACGATGCTCAATTGATACCGGCGCTTACTGGGGGATGAAATCAGCTTGCTTCTCAACAACCCTTGAGAGTGGTATCAGCCAACGGGTAGTTACTGCAACTCGGGCTGCTTCTTATGAACTCATAAGTAGATCCAGGGGAGAGGAGGGTGATGGTTCTTTTGTCCCGCATCCCCGGTGGCACAGACACCAGTGCTACAGAAGTCCGGGCTTAACGCTAAACCTATAAAAAAACTCTTTCCCGTGTCTCCTGTCGTTCCCTC